AATTGATGAAAGATATTGAGTTTGCAAAAACATGACAAAACAAAAAGTGGTAGCGTTTGCAAAGAGAACCTATTATGAAACAAGTGAATGATGAAAAATGAGACAAACATCTCAATACTTAAAGTCATAAGTGTCGCGACTGCGAAAAACACCCGGCGGAAAATAGAAGAGTCACCACCGAACGTTATTTATCCCAAAGAGAGGGAAAGGAAATGATCGAAGAAAACTTGAAGAACGGGAAAAGACAAGGTCATCGCAACCAAATCTTAGGTTCAGGAGTCGGTTACGCAAGGGGAAGGTATGAGTACCCCTCACGTCCGTTGTACTCAACGGGATCCATGCTTGTTGTCTAATCAAAAGACGTGTTTATCTATAAACTACTGCTAAGAAAAAACGAGAACAAAGAAAAAAAGAAAGAGATTCGATAGGACATCGCCGCTCTACGCCTACATATTCCCTCGTGCAATGGGAAAGTCAGAGTCAACGTAGTTCGGAAAACTACGGATGATGGGGGGGAAAGTTGCTCACCAAGACATCGTCGTCTTGTGCCTACGTATCCTCATTTGATATGAGAAATCAGAGCAAACGTAGTTCGGGTAACGAAACCACATGTTGGTTAGGTTTTTTTATAAGTGACGTTAAATTCCCATTCCAACAGTTAGGGATGATGCATGTTTGCGGTAGAACGGAAAAGTAACGTACTCTTTTTTGAAAATGAGTTTGAAGAACAATCCCGAAGGATAAAAAGTTTGAATTTGGTTTGTGACTTTTAGTGAAGTGAATTAGTTTGCTTTATGATTCATGTTGCACTAAAGACTATGACATAGAAGCGAATGCATCACATATCGCTCAAAGGGCATACACTAAACACTCTAGACAAGTGAGGAGAAACCTCTCACTCATTATTTCCCATGTGCTTAAGGCTCGTAGCGTACAACATTCATCGTATTTATTAAATGAGTTAGAAGGTGTTTTGAGATGAGAAGAGAGACGCACAGAAGGTCTAAGGAAAACTCGGTCCTAACGTTGTCATGCAAAGTGGTCCTAAAGTTGAGATGCGAAAGGAGATTCTATCCTAATATTAGCATGAAAAAGATGGACCTAAGGTTGAGATTAAAAGGGACTAGCCTAATGTTATCATGCTTGTTTTGCAATTCTAATGTCTATCCTACTCCAAATTTAACCAGAAATTAAATTGGAACAAGAAACCTAAGGGAACATGCAAAGGCAAGGCGAAAAGTAAGAAAAATAAGACAAAAAACAGCTGCTACAACAGCGCCTCCTGCACAAGACAACAGTAAAATCCAGCATACAAGCAAGACAACCTATAACAACACATATTTCAGCACAAAAGCAGGTGTAAAAAGTAGGCATCAAGCAAGCAAGGCAAAGACAACATGCAAATTTCAGAATAACCACAACTGTGGAAAGTAGGCAGTGAGCAAGATTGAATGCAATTAATCATAAACAAACACCAATCATGGATAGATCATGCAAGTATGGACATGTTTTAACAATCAAACCTAATTGATCAACAACATTGTATCAACAAGAATCAATAAGATCGACATGCTTTTCAATTCAAATTGAACGATCGAACGATCAAACAAGCGCACAACAAAGCGGAAACAGAAACAAATACAAGCATGCATCACATATCCAGTAAGACAATCAACAATGATAATCAATTAATCATGCTATAGGCAAACAAGTCAAATGATCATTGCATCCATTAAGCAACATGAGTAAGCTAAGCATTCAAACAAAAACCAGACGTTACGTGTCAAAGAATCCAAATCAAACATTCAAGAATAATGAAATATGTCTAAAACAATCCACTTAAATGCATCATATCAATCCATGAAGTTTAGAGGGGAAAAGGAACTCAAACAAACAAGAAAATGCAAGAAACACATATTCTGTCTCAGTGGTAATCGGTTACCAAAATCAGGTAACCGGTTACCTGTTGAAAAAATGCTTAGAAACGTGAAATTTGTGCAGGATAATCGGTTACCTACTAATGGTAACCGGTTACCACTGAGACAGAAACAGAAAAACAACTTCCAAAATCAGTTTTTAACACCAAACAACTTATTCAATCACTCACATGAACATGTAATCAAATAAGCACAAATTTATCATCAAGAATCAGTGATCAAACATCATGTAAACACATTCAAACATTGAGATCATAAATCACAAAGATCAAAATCATCAAAGTGGATAAAAATGCATCAAAAGCCATGGATCTACATTGTGATTATGCAAATAAGCTCAAAACATAATTGGTGAATTCAAAGCTGAGATTTGCTTTGGTATGTGTTGGTTTACTTGAAACTAACAAATCCAAGCTAGAAACTCAGAGAATCTTCAAGATCCAAGACCTTCCTTATGGTAGAAGTGAAGAACAAGCAAAATCAAGCCAAGATTGATCCAAAGGCACTTCAAATCTAGCTTCCAAATTCAGATCTTAATTCAAACGAAAATTGAGTGATAAATTGAAGATAATGGAGATGAATGATGGAGGTTTAGCTCTAGAATTCAAGGATTCCAATGAAGAATCAATGAACTCAAGTGAAAAGAGCTTTAATGGAGGTTTTGAGAGTGAAAAAGTTGAGAGGATTTGGGAGCAAATTCTGAAATTGAGATGAAAAATGAGAGTGAAATGATGTCAATGAGTGAGGTTTGGAGCAAATCCACTTAAATAAGCTCTAGGTTAGGAATCAAAATATGGTTTAGAATGTGGATTAACATTTGGAATGGAAATTAGGAGTGGAATTAGGAATGGAGTGTTTGAAATTTGGAGGGAAATGATGAAAATTGGAACAATTCTAGATCCTTCCAATGACGATCATATGAAATCAATGGTTGAAAATGAGTGAAAACTTGCAATGCTGAAAATTCAAATTCCTTGGCAAATTTCGCCCAGGGTAACCGATTACCCATATGTGGTAACTGGTTACCAATTAAAAAATGCCCAAATTGGCGCCCAATGGAGGGAATCCTGTATAATCATCCGCTGTCACCTGTTCTAAGCTTTGTTAAGCATTTGAAACTTGCCATTGGATGTTATAACTGTGAGAATGCCCGAGATAGCCTGTATACCGTCTCTTGAGCTGAAAATATTCTGCTGAATAAAATAAAATCGACCGCTCGATCGCTGGGGCAAAATAAATGTCGGAGCCTCTAATGCTCGCTGTTTAAACTCTTGCAACGAAAGGGAACCCTAATCCACAAAAATACCTTTATCCCATGTCTCGAGAACCAATGCTATGATATGCAGAAATGTAAAAATGTAGAGAAACATAAGCCAGTAAATCCAGAAACAATGAGACAAATTTTGGGTGTTACAATAAGTACTCTCATATAGCCTAATAGTAATCAATGGCATGGTAGAGCATCAAAAGGTCTAGTCGCAAGCATGCAAACCAACAACACCCTCATATTTAGTGGTCATTCCGAAGATAAACTTAATCATAAAAAGTTTTAAAATGAAGTTCAAAGGGTTTTCAAAATTTATCCACTCAATAAATTGATCAATCTCTCTTAAAACAAACAATTTAGACTGGAAGTATCCTTAAACTTATAATATCAACAATCTTGCAAACTCTCCTACCACAATCACTTCACTCCTATGTCCCTCACGCTTGAGGGACTATGAACCATCATATATTTTAGTTAATCCATTCTTTTATACATGTCTCATGTTTGAGGGACTTTGAACCAACATATATTTTAGTTAATCATTTCGCCTCATATACGCCTCGTGCTTGAGAGACTATGAACCATCATGTATTTTAGTTAATCACTTTGCCCCTGCAGCCCATATGCTTGAGATACTGATATGTCCATAATAACTCAAACTCACTTAACACCAATAGGGTCTAACTCATTAGCTCTAGAGCATGTCAAGACTTTGGAGTGTAATTAAATTGGCATAAGCGAGGTAAATCTGACCTCGAGTCATATTGACTAACTTGACATTATTTGTTATGTGGATGAGATTTTCCAACTAGAAAATTGACTCAGCTTTAAGACAAAAAAACTAACGCAACTTTGAGTCATGCCACAAATTTAGGATAATAAGGTATGCAACTAAGACCCAGATAAATAATGAATATAACGATGCAACAAAAAAGCTAGTCGCATAGCCAAAGTCTCATACAATTAAAGAATAAGACAATGAAAGACAATAACATTAACATTTGTAATAGTTAGAGTCTTGATGAGCGAATTAAAGCCAAAACCACTAAAAGTAAAAATAAAATAAAAAGTCATAACTAACAATCACATATTCAATTGAAGCTTTGCTTGTTCAACTTAGACAAAAGTACGCATATTATATTTTTCACAATAAATAAATAAATATATATATATATATATATATATATATATATATATATATATATATATATATATATATATATATATATATATATATATATATATATATATATATTAACATTATCTAACACTTCTTATATTAATTATATTATGGCTCATGATATGAGTTAAATTTGCCGCTTTCAAAAGAAAAAGTTTTATAATACACACCCTATAAAAAGTACTTTATTAAGAATGAAATTTCAAGTAATCTTTGAAAATCGTCGGCTCGAAAATGAGTGCTTCCACATAAGAGTTTGTCATGTAATCTGTATACATTTTCTCACTATAGACCTAGTAGATTCCCACCAAACTTTGGTTCCTACTTTATCGGCATGGTTTACTTTTCATTTGCTTAACTAATTCAACAACCTTGGACCTACATTAATAATGCTTCTTTCTCTAACATCACACTACTATAAGTGTTATCATTCATCGTTACTAGTCCACTTACACCAAATTCAAAGCCTAAATAAGTAAGTAAATGATTAAATAAAGACATTACAATGAATCACTCCAAAAACATTGTACCAAAATATAATATTATTGATACTAGTAATTATTTTCATTTGAGAAACACATGTATATGCCTATGTTTATTTTTACTTGTTTATATTTTAAATAATTGCAATTGGACCCAAATTTTCATTTGATCCTTTCAATGCTTCAAATCTTGGTTCCTTAGCATGGAATTTCAAACCAGCATAGATCTTCATGTACTCCTCAAACACAAATTTTGGGTATAGATTGTTTTTTTCCTCTGTTTCTTTTTCCAACAACTTTGGAGCAGGGTAGATTACAGCATCAGAGCCAGGGTTGTAGAATGAGGCTATGGACATTCTTGTTCCATTGGTTTGTGCTATCACACGGTGCTCCACACTCTTGTACTTGCCATTTGTTATAACCTGTTTTTGAGAAATAGGGTTAGATAAAAGTTCATGATTTTTTGGCACATAACTTGTTTGTGAAAATGCCTATAAGAGATATTAAAGAGTTATATGCTAATTATTCATTCTCATACTCAATCTTAGATGTTTTTCATATTAGTGTCTGATTGTCTTTGGTCACATTAGTTTATAACTTATGTCAAATCTTGTGTATTGACCTTCTGCAATGACACACTGCAGAACTCTACGGTGAGAACGAGAGCTCGCAGTGTTGTTGTCACTGCAGAGGATCAAAATACTAATACGAATTTTGTTGTTGTTGGCAAAGGAAATGGATTTACCTCAAGTTGGTCACCGAGGTTGACAACAATGGAGTGGCGCATTGGGGGAACATCAATCCACTCGCCGTCTTTGAGAAGCTGTAGGCCACTGACCTTGTCATCCTGGAAGAGAAGGATGATCCCACCAGCATCGGTGTGAGCCCGAAGACCCTTCACCAGCTCCGGATTGGGGCACTGAGGATAGTTGGCTACCTTGGTTCCAAAAGTTGGTCCTTTTGATCCATAGAAAGCCTTTTTGAGGTACCCTTTCTCTAGTCCTAGATTCTCACATAACAAGTCCAAAAGCTCTTCGGCTAGTTTCTCTAACCTAAAAGCAAATTCCTTCATCACCTTCCTGCATCATAATTAACATAAATTGTGTCAATTATTTGTGATTTTGTGCAAAATATTATATATGTCATGCAATGTATGACATCATAATGTTTGTCTTGTGTAACCTGTATTCATCACTGAGATCAGGGACCTCTGAAATGTTTGTTTCGGGGAGGTGGCGAACATGGAAGGTGCTTTCCCAATCCATATCCTTGACCTCAGTTTGGACAGCATCTAGGCCTCTGCATGATACAAATTCCCTAAACCTCTGCTCCATGCATTTCCTATAGTGCTCTTTGGTCAACCTCTCCAACGTGTCCATTAGGTCATGAGGTATGCCATGATTCACCAACTATAGTTTTGAAAGCAAGTAATCAAGAAGAGTTATATAGCGAAAGTAACATATGAACCAACAAGAACATTTAATCAGAGAGCAATGTATTGTAAAAAAAAAGGTTGTAGTAAAAAGTGTTTTTGTTGTAGCAATGAAGTACCTCAAAGAATCCCCAATTCTCACAAGCATCTTTTATTTTTTCCATGGTATCTTTTCTCTCCTCACCATTGAGTCTCTCCAAGCTGATAATTGGGAAGTTCATCATGATCTCTTAAACAAACTCAAAGTAAGTCTCTTTCTAGTTTCTATCTTCTTTTGTCTCTTTTGCTTTATGCATGTTAGAGTTAGGCAGCAAGGTATTTATAGACCTATACATGAGGACCAACTAGTAAAAAAGATAACTTTGTTTAATATTTTTGCATGAATATATTTAGTTACTTACTTTAAGTATAAATCATAGCCATAATTTCTTTTAGTTCCGTAATTGAATTGTTATTAAGCCACTTGGTGTAATTTGTGGACCCATCTGGTGGCTGACTCCTTTGAAAATTTGACCAAAACAGCACAAGCTGCCACCTCCATCTTGTTGCTATTCCTTTTTTAATTTGTGATGGAACATAATCAAGTTGTTAAAGTGATTTCATCATATGAAAATGAAGAATAAATATTCCAAAATCTTTGAATTTTTCTTTTAAACTTTGAGATTAAACTTAGAAAATGTAAAAATAGAGTTATAAAAGTCTCGTAAATTTATTCAGTATTATCTACTCTCTTTGGTCTCTTTTATAAGAGACATTTTACTTTTTTAGATTCATTAAATAATTAATGTATCTGATCTATAATATAAGTTAAATATATGAATCATTTAATAAATATAAAAAAAGTAAAATGTTCTTTATAAAAAAGACGGAAGAAAAATCTATCTACTATTGCTTTTGAAATGTTTAAGCCACATCTTTCACTTATAAATAGGAGGATTTGCAAAAAATATTATTTTTTTTCACTTATAAATAGGAGGATTTGCAAAAAATATTATTTTTTTAAAAAAAGATCATCTATCAGTTTATTCGTTAGTTTTTAAAATTCTGTTTGAGACTCTGAAGACAACTACTCATCATCTTTTTTTCTCAATTTGATTTTGTATTTATATGTGGTTCGGTGAATTGTAATCAATCATATTTAATGAGTATTTAGTGAGATAAAGTTTAATTCTTGTTGATTTTATTCTATATTATTAAAAAAATTCTTTTGTTTATCGTCAATTTTAAGATAAGTGGTTTCCAACGCATCTATCAATTTTAGAATTTACTTTTCTCTTATGTGTTGTGACATAGTATAATTCTAGGTCATGTCATTTAAAGTTAGTAGCTTCTAGGAAGGAGCTTGTTAGAAATTTCAAGCACTATCCAAAAGTAATAGCATTCGTGCATTGAAGAAAAGTGGGACAGATATTTCTTATTTGTCTCTTCTTAATTGTTCACATGCTTCCATATACAGAAGCATGGGTGAGTGATGGAATGCATGTTAAATGGTGCCTTAATATGGTGTATGCATATTTACTTCGATTAGTAATTCAGCTAGATTTGGAATGACTGATTTGGTTTGAACTTGCAAAATTAAAATTGATATACACATTTTAGTTTAGTCAAGGAAAGTGAGAGTTTATGGTCATAATAATAACAATGGAGACATGGTTTATGGTTTAGGTCTTTGTGCTAAGGATGAAATTCATGTTATTTTTTTATTACTCGATATGTTTTGAAATAAATGTCTTTTTGCCTAAATTTTTTTTCATAAAATAAGTATCGTTTTATTTTTTCAATCTAACATTAATTTATTTGTATTAATTTTACCTTTAATTAATGCATTAAATCTTGTTTATATTTATGACTGTACATGTGTAATCAATAATATATAAGGACAATTTTATAAAATTGTTATATTTATTTCTTCGACCATTATTTTTTTTAATATGTGTGCAACAATCTTAATCGAATATTATTTTGAAAATGAGTTATATTTTAAGACGGAGGGAGTAAGTAGATTAAAAAAACAATATCATATCTCAACAAAAATATCAACATACCTAAATCAAAACATCTACAATAACACAAATAACAACGCACGACTTATACAAAAGCAACAATATAACTCAACAAAAATATTAAAAATAATAGACAAAAATATTTTCTAAGTCCTTTAAGTTACTTTAAAATATCAAGTTAGTCTTTTAAGTTTTTTTGTAACGCTTTGATCATTTATGTTAAGTAATATTTGCACTGTTGACTTTTTTAAAAATCTTTGTTCCAAAAAAGCCTATGTGGCACAAACGGAACACATGTGACATTTAACAGTGATGATGTGTCATTTTATTTTATTTTATATTTATTTTTTAATTTTACGTGAATTTTAATTTTTTTTAACTGGAAGGACTTGATTGTTACAAGTTAAAATATAACTGATACGTTGTTTTACACTATTTTGAATCTTAAACAATAACTAACATGTTGTTTTACACTATTTTAAACATTAAACAATTACAAGACAACATATCAAACATTAAATAATCTAAATATTGTCAAAAGCATTTGTATAATATTATAAATCAATACATACATAATCTAACAAATAGAAATAAAAATATAACAATAAATGTATTGATTTATGCATGTATTGGTTTATAACATTATAACAATTCTTCTATTGATTTTTTTCTCCTTCTGATTTGTTAACTGTACGAAAAACATAAATAGGAGATAACAACTTTATTTGACAATACTAGTTGTTCAACCAAACAAAGGCAGTGTTTATACCAAGAACCCAACAACTTGCCTTGTATAATTTAGCTCTAGCCAAGACGTTCCTGCATACTATATTTCACAACACAAGTACTAAGTCAAAGAGTGAAAAAAATAAATTATGGTAAATGGTTTAATGTGAAACTATTGTATTGTAATTCTGTTTTAGTAGTTGAGTGAAGTAGTTATACTATACACCCATACTGATATATCAACAAAATATATCAACGAAGTGGTTAGTCTTACCTACATACTATGCACTCGTGCAAGTATATAGTTTAGTTAGTGAGTTTGTAACTAAGTCTAGTAGTTTAAACCGATTAACTAATAATTGGTTAGTTAGTTAGGTTGGTTGCTTAATCAACATGCTATATAAATGTTGTAAATTCTATTTTGAGAAATATGAATGAAATATATCATCATTGTTACAAAAATAATCTCTCTTCATTCTAAATTCATCTATCCGTCTTTATTCTCATTACCTTGTTTGACAAGTACTCCAACAGAAACATGTTAGTACATACAAATAAATTCACAACTAAGAAATTATCAGTTATCTAAAATAAATAAAGAACAACACGTCTGATTTCATAGCTTGCGCATAGGAATGTAGTTTCACAGCTTTCCATCATTTCATTCTATTCACTTTTCGCTCACTTTAATAGAATGTAGAAATCCAAATTATTGTGTGAAATGAAGTGAGGATAATCCTCCTTTATATAAGCAAAATTTTGGCTTAAAATGGAAATAATCCACGAGACAAATTAATGTCTTAATCGATTAGGTGTGCCAAACAATTGATTATTGTGGTCTAAAAAGGAAGGTTTTGATATATAAAAGTTACCAATCATTAAGATACTTTCATAATCGACTATAGACTTGATTAGGCATCATATAATCTATTAGACATATAATCTAATTGATTAGGCAGTTTGAAAAATTCACCCAAACAAGCAAGTAACCCCCTAATCAATTGGCTAGGCCTTAAAAATATTTATAGGTGATTTTGTTATGTAAAGAGAGGCTTTAAAAGTATTTTAAATGTGTGTTTGAGAGTTACCTTAGTATCTTATGAGCTATATTACTACTTTCACAAAATTATAATCACTCAAACATACAGACCAAACGAGCTTTCACACTTCATATCTTTCATTACTATAAAACTTTCAAGTTACTTTGCTAGATACACCAATCAAATAAGAAATTTAATGGAACCTTAAATATTCTACTCAAAGAGGCTTGAGATATCTTTAAGTTAATCACCATCACTAAAGAGTTGGAAAGATATCACCACTGACTTCAACATTTATCAATGTTGTCATCATCAAAACATCAAGAAGGTTGTCACCATTAGGATCATCAACTTTATATCTGCAAGTGCATATATCTATAGAGAAACCTAATATGACAAATTTTGATCTTTTAGAGGTTATGTAGAAGACAACGAAGAACCTTTTAGTGCCTCTTTTTATGAGAGTACTGATGAGTCTTTTGAAAAGGACAAGTGGGTGAATTAAGGTATCCATGTTATAAGAGATGTAAATATTGATCCTTTTTCTTCCATTTGACCTATTCGAGATTTAGATTATGCTGAAGTTGTCGGTGATAAGCAAAAAAATTAGTTTTTAATAAAAATTATAACCTTTATGGTGGTGAATGAAAAAGACCCTAGTGATATAGAGATTAGGGATCACAACAGTTTTTAAAGCCACTATCGAGTACATGCTCAACATTATATTTTTCATAACGATTGGTCCTGAAGGTATTGTAGAGATGACTAATGTTAAGTAGTATCGGTTGGTGGCTCATGAATTGTTAGGGACAATCTCCTTATTTGGTATCACGACTGGTACGGAGAATTCCCACATAGATGCAGGTCTTTCTTCTAACTGGTCAATTTCACTTATTAACTTTGGTAGAAGGATTTACAGTTCTTTTGATGGGTGTTCCATCGCCATTTACGAGTACATATTTTCTAGGCTAAACTTGATGCTTCCCTTCTACAGGTTTGAAGAAGAAACGCTAATGTATCTAAGAATTGACCCTTATCAAATGCACTTGGTGATCTGGATTTTTGTTAAAATGTTTCAGTATTAGTGTGAATACCAGAATCAAGAACCATCTCTAAACCTCTTCTTACATATCTTCATTGTGATACATACCTCCAAAACTATTGACCAGAGACATGGGTTGATCTCACTACACCAAACACATAAACTATTTAATGACTGCCTTGAAAATGGTAAAAACTTCAAGGATCATTACTTTTTGGTGATACCTCAGACTCCAGAGGCTCTCTCCATATTTGGCGTGGTCCCTAAGAGAGATCATTCATTAACAGAATTCCCTAGTTTTGAGCTGGGTGAAGTTTAAGGATAGTTTCCAAAAATTATAGGTTCATAACAACTTCAATAAGGAATCAAGCATATATACTATCCGCACTGACTCTCTAACCCTAATAGATGTC